CAGGCTGGGCCACCTGGACACAGTGCATGGCACTGGGTGGTGCCCACGACTCACCATGCATCACCCTGTGGACAGGTGCCCCTCTGAGCTTATCCCTGTCAGTGACCGGAACACACTGCGGTGCCCTGAGGCTGGAGAGCATGGTGGGTTGTACAGTGTCCCCCCAAAGATAGGGCCAGGGTCTAACCCCGGTACCTGTGAATATGACCTTATTTGGAAATAGGGTCTTTGCAGATGTCATTAAGTCAGGGATCTCAAGATACCATGCCAGATGGCAGGGGAGGCAGGGTCCCGGGAGCAGGCCAGGGGGAAGCAGCTGAGATTCCCGTGGCGCGGCTGCGAGCCAAGCAGCACGGGGGACCGCCCGCAGAGAACGTTTGCTGGGAGCTCCCTTCAGCCTCTGGCCTGGAATGCGAGAAACGTGTTCCTGCGGTCTCAAACCACCAAGTTCCGGCGATTTGTTGTAGCACTCATAGGAGACCAGCACCGAGGAGGTGGCTGGGGGCCAGAAGGCAGATGCCCTGGGAAGATCTTCTGATCCCTGTCAGTGACGGTCACTCTGCAGACCTTGGGGCTGCCAGAGCGTCCACAGCCTCTTGTGTTTTCCTCAGTGTCTCACATTGAGCTGGCTGTCCCGTCTGTGTGCCAGGTGACAGGAAGGCCAGCAGGTACCAGCCAGGTGATCAGCCGGGTGACCTCTCTGAGCACTCACCTGGAAAGCCAGGACAAGTGTAGACCTGCTTCACAGGAGGAGGAGTCTCTCATTCCCTCACTGGAAGATGCACTGGGCACCTACTCTACACCAAGAACTATTCCCAGCACTGGAAACAGAGCAGGAAACAAAAAATACACCAGTCTCTGCCACACAGCGCTGACGTTTCAGCGAGAAGACAAAGACGATGAGAGAGACCCTCTAGTGGAATGCGCGGCTGGCGGCTGGTGCTGCGGGGCTACTGCGAGGGGCTGAGGCCAGTCACAGGCGCAGCCAGGTCAGGCAGGTCAAGGGGTCAGCAGGAATCACGTACTCGGGCCTGGTCAAGGCACTGGGCACATAGTAGTGGCACAGCTCACATTGCTGCTGTCCTCCAGACCAGCTGACCCCTCTACTCTCCACACAGTGCTCCGAGCCTTCCTGTCCCTCCTCCAGCCCCCCGTCTCGGGCATTCCACAGGCCAAAGCAAGCTTGTGGGGTGAGGGGAGGGCTGCCCAAACTCGGATGGACGGGTCGGGGGCTGTGAATCCCACCAGTGGTCACAAAGGAGGGCTCATGACGTGGCCCAGCCAGATACGCTTGGCCACAGCCACCTGCTCCCTCACTCCATTCCTTCTAGTCCAGAAGATGAAAAAGGTCCAGATTTTGCAATTTCCTTGAAAACTAAGAGAAAGGCTCAGACGGGAGACCGTGGAATCGGTGTGAGGGTACTGAGCACCTTGGCCAACCTGCCGGGTCTGAGGTTGGGGGAGAGCAGCCACCAACGTGCGCTGAGGGATGGGCCACAGTTCTGGGTGGACCACGCCCTGTGCGTCCCAGCTCCTGAGAGGCATCCCGACCTCTTGGCTCTTGGCATGTCCTGTCTAATGGGGAGGTGGGGATTTATCTGGGGCCTGGGCCAGGCCAGTTGGTCCACGCTAACAACGTGAGGTTGGTCCACACAATATTAGCTTGCCCTTTGGAGGGCTGGAGCCAAAGCTCCCCAGCAGCTCTGTGGGCTGAGGGTCTTACGTGAGAAGACGTGGGAGGGAAGAGACCAGACAGCGGGGTCTGGGTGAGACAAGGGCCCAGCTCTCCTCAGCCTGGCCCTTTAAAACCCAAACCGTGGGCTTCATTTGCATTTAGATCTCCTGCTCCCCCTTTTCATCTAAAGACAAATCCTCACAAAAGGCTGCTTAATTAGACCAAATTAGATTTCCACTCAGCAGCTTGTCATTCATTACAAAACGCTGCTCTTTTCCTATTTTGGTAATTACAGGCTGGTCTCCGCCCGGCACTGAGCTCACTCCAGCCGTGGAGTATGACCAGCATTCCTGATTTTCTGCAGCGAAGAGCAAAATTATTCAGTTGCACCAAATCTGTCTCTTTTATAAGTTGGATCAAGACTGTCGCGGGCGTCCCCCACAATAAGGGAACCCTCGTTCTTCTTTATTCTCCCATGATCGCCAGAGCCCCGCAGAGTGCCGGCCTTTCCAAGACTGAGCTGAGGACGATCAGACCCCACACGTAGCGATCCTGCCGTGTGTTGGGGACCTTTCCCTGGGCTGCACAACCCTGCTGCTCCTGGGGAGCCGCCCTCAGTCACCCGGGGCGGCCCTCACCTGGGTTTGCGGCACCTGGCCATCTTTTGCCCTGAACACAGAGCCATGTCATTTCTAGCTGTCATCTGTGGAGACCTGCCAGGCAGATGGGTGCCCGGGCCCGGGTGGCTGGTCTCCGTCCTGCCGTTCCTCCACACTTCCCAGGCCTAGCTGGTGCAGTTCGGCCTCCAGGGACCTCCCCCCAACCCAGCGGGGCTCCTCAAAGTGGCTTGGGGCCCACAGCCCCATGGTGAACCGTCCCAGGGCCCGAGCACCATCCCAGGGCAGCCCGGGTAGCTTCCGATGGTGCGCGTGAGCCGTCCATCCCAGGGGCAGGGGCGCTGATGGTGGTGGGACGGCGGCTTCACTTGGCTCCCGCAGTCCCCGGCACCTGTTCCAGCTGAAGACATTTGGCATGGTTTGCCACATGAGGGGCACTGAAGAGTCTCGCCAGACCCCAGGCTTAGAGATCGGGCTGAGGTCTTGCCCCAGGGCACAAGCAGGAGAGCTGACTCTGCTGCCCAGATCTGATGGGCTGCAAACCCTCCCACGGCGCTGGACTGACTTCCCGAATGCAAGAAGCAGGCGACGTGGGTCTAGAAGATGTGGATCTACATGATGTGGATCTAGACATGTTCCAGAAAGGAATGGCAGAGCGGAAGGGCCCCAGATATCAGAGAACTCAGCTCCTCATTTTACAAAGGGGAACTCTGAGGACAGAGGAGGGGAGACAGGTGACCTCGGGTCTGCCATCCTGGACGTCCTCCTCCTTTCCGGCCCCACCTGGCCCCGGTCTGTGTGGACGTGGTCACAGGCTGGAAGCTGCCTGGTTGTGCTGCTCCCACTGGGTACAGAAAACCCACCCTCCTCGAGGCGCACAGCCAGGCAGGACAGGGCTTTCCCACTTCGGCCCTCAGAGCTCAACTCCCTGGAAAGTTCAGGAATAAATTCCAGACCCAATTTCAGAAGCTGGCCCAGGCCCGGGAGGAGAAGTTGAAGAGCTTCCAGAACATCATCCTTCTGTCCCCACGCTGGCACTCTGTCCTGCCGGCACTCCAACAGGGTGAACTGAAGACCTGCTGTGGGCCCGGCTCCCGGGACACCATCAGTGGGTGGGTCAGACCTGCTGCTGAGCCAGATGTGGTGGAAACCACCACCCAGCCATCAAAGGGTCACAGTGTCGTGGGGCCAGCAGGGAAAATAGATGGTGGGGCCGGGGTTTCTTAGCGGGTGCCGATTCCGGGGGGTCCCGGAGGAGGCGGTATTGAAGCAAGGAGCTCAGGAGCCCCAGGAGTGGATGAGGAGGGGCAGTGGCTTGGTGCCTGGCGGGCCTGCCGCTTGAGCAGCTAGGAGGCCAGAGGCCGGGAGTGGAAAGTGAGGGGCCACACAGGAGCCTGGAACAGGCACCTCTCTGTGGAGCTGGGCTCCTGCTACACAAGCCACCAGAGGCCCACCCTGGGTACTGGCCAGGTCCTTTCTCCACAGCAGCTGAGACCCATTAGCTCAAAAGCCCACTGACGCAAAACTCAGAAATTTAAACACCCACTTTTTAAAAAAAATAGCCGGAACAAGCAGATTTTCAGCCCCTCAGGGTCTGTCTGCATTGCCCACCCCACGGCGCTGCCCTGGGGTGTGCTGGCCCCGCTGGAGCCTGTGACTGTGAGAGCCTTGCTGCCAATGCCCTTGGGAGCTGCCTGACCTTGAGGCACCCTAGCCAGGACCCCTGACTGCAAGCCTCTGGGTGCTGTCGTCCCAGCCACCTGCCCTCCCTGCAGCCTGTCCAGGCACTGCCCAGCGAATCTTCCAACCTGCTCCCTTCATTAGCCCCCAAATCGCTCCCTGCACCTCTCCCTCCCTGGCTTTCCCCATCTTCGCAGATCACAAGGGACAAGGAACGGTGACTTGGTGACTCGGGCCCCATAAGTGGCCACTGCCCTGCTGCTGACGGAGGAGGAGCAGCTCTCTGCTCCTACACACCTGCCTGCGAACCACCAACCGCCCCACAGCTGCAAAGAGGCAGGCCGTCCCGTCCTCCCCGTTTGGAGCTGAAATCAGTAGCCTCCAGTCCTGTCCCCGGGCGACCCCAGCCTCATTAACAGGCTTCCTTTTAGGGTGCTGCCTCCGCCCCACGCCCTGCAATGCTGGCGGGGCGTCTCCTACCTCGTGTTAAACTCCTTCTCATTTATCACAATGCCGCTCTTTTCTTATTGACATGGAAATAAAACTTACAATCAATGAGATATGATGAAATATACATCAAAACCGGAGTCACGCGGGCGCTTCATCTGTTCTCGGGAAGGAACAGGGTTTATGGGGGGGTGGGGGGACACTGAACGTTTTTCTTCCCTATTACATGATGCGATTTTCAATGAATCCATAAAGAAAATGAAAACACAAATAGAGTAACCAAACAGGATGATCCCTGCAGCTGTCAAGACTTAAAACAGTTCAGCTTTCCTTTGATTTCTGTTTTAAGTTTTGAAAAGTACATAGATCATCCTCTGCTTTCTCCATTCCTTCCTTTCTTTCCTTTTTTTTTTCTTTTCCTTTTCCTTTCACAGGAGGCTCCTCTTCAGTCTGCTCACTCTGGGTTCACCGGTGTTGAACCTGGGCAGCCAAACTGACCGATGACCAGACGGACAGGCTCTTATTCTTGCACCATCAGCCCGAGGCAGGAGCGCCCGCGGTCTCCGTTGGTGACTCCTCAGTGGCCCGGTCATTCCTTTCCTTGTTGGAGTCCACATCAAAGCAGGCTCACGGGGTGGGGGGGGGTCTTCCTCCTGTGAAACGGGGTCACACTGAAGTCGAAGGGGAACAGAAGGGTTCCCACCCCCGTCCCCACTGTGCGCCAGGCACCGCGCGGCCCTTCACCTCTGCTCTAAATCCTGCCGTTATGCCGGGAGGTGGGGACAGTGGATGCCCATCTCAGGAGCCTCAGACAGGTCAGGCCCACAGTCCAGATTCTGGTCCTCTGTCTCACCAGGGGGTGACGAGGGCCTCCACGTGGCACTGCCTTCAACTTTGTTCTTTTCCTGAAGGTCACAGAGTCACGCTTCAAAACAAGTCTGATGTGACCACTCCCTTCCATGCCCCAGGTAATGGTCAACTGTCCAGCTGGTCAGGAGAGGGGCTGCCTGCCCCCTGGTGTCCTCTGCTTGGCATCCACCTCAAGGAAGTCACTGGCCTCCTCCTGTGTCCCTGGTGCAGACCAGGGGGCTTTGGGAGGAAGCAGGTGGACAGGGACCTATACCCATGTCCCTGGACTTGTAGTCCAGGACTCCTTCTCCCCTGCAGGGCAGCTGGCCTTCCTAAAGTGAGGCTACCCAAAGCAGAGGAGGGACACCTTATGTAAGGGGATCCAGCCAGGCTGGCTTGCCTTGGAACAAAAGTCTCAAGGAGATCCCAGAAGGCTCCAAGAGACATGCTGCCCCCCAGCTGTCACCATATGGACCATCAGAGCAAGAGGACCAAACCAGGGGACCATGGCAGCCCAGAGCCTTGCTCCTTGCGCCCCACGTTCCACCCCCACAGTCCTGCTTCCTGCAAGTGAAGCCAGGTGTCCACAGTGCGCCACCCCAGCATGAGACCACAGCCACACGTGTGCGTCTCCTCTGGCTCCTGGGACAGAGAGGAGTTCCCTAAATGCCCCGGAGGGGAGCGTGGCGTGTCCTTCCTGTGGGAGTGTCGACGTTCTTTCTCCTGCGGAGAACACACAGAAAGCTGATCATCAGTGTGCAGCTGAGTGGATTGGACGAGCTGTGCCGCTGGCCCCTCTGCTTGGTCTGAGACACTTTCGTCACCCCAGAGGAGTCCGTGGGCCTCGAGCAGTCACCCCCCACAGGCGACCACCAATCTGCCTTCTGTCCCTGGGTGAGCCTCATCTGGACGCTTCACCTAAATAGACAATGTGTGGCCTTTCGTGTCCGGTTTCTTCCCTTAGCATACTGTCCTGGGAGCACGTCCTCGCGGTGGCATGGACCAGGGCCCCATTCCTTTCCATGGCTGAATGACATTCCGCTGTGTGGCTGGACCACATTTTGCTTATCTTCTCATCCGTGGAGGGACATTTGGGTGGTTTCCCTTTGGGCCACCGTGAACAGTGCCGCTATGAACGCTCGTGTGTGGATGAGCTTAAAGGCATCTTTGAGCACCGTCTCAGGAGTGGAATTGCTCGGTCACGTGCTGATTCTCTAGCTCTGGAGGAGCCCTCCGATGTCATTTTGTGGTGAGCTCCTACTCATCCTGATGGAGATGGAGTCGCCAGTGATTTCGCCCCCTGGAGAGGCCGAGGACGGCCAGCTCCAGGAGCGGCTGCTTTATATCTAAAGCCTGCTGAGCCCTCTGCTAAGAACTCAGCTGCACTGTGGAGCGTCCCCCATGGCCCTCTGAGCGGGGTGCCCTTGTTAGACCTGTTTTCCAGGGAAGGCCACTGAGACTTAGAGGCTAAGCAACATGCTCAAGGTCACAAAGGGTCACGAAGCCAGAATTCCACGTCCGGAGGCTTGGCCACAGCCGTGTTCTCCATCACTGACCCCGTGTGTCCGGAATGTGCCAAATGATTCTGTTTGGGCTCAGAATGTGACAGGTAGGGGGCTGGCAGCAGCAGACCTCTGGTCCTCATCTGGCCAGGCACAGACCGCTGTGACAGTGAGCTTGCCAGCCGTGAGCACACCCACGGTGGACAGCAGGCGCTGACCCACAGGTGGCCAGAGTGCAGCCCCACAGGCAAATCACCCAGGACACAGATGAGTGCCCACCACTGCGAAGTCCAGGCCTGTCACCCAGAACCGCTCATGACTCTTACTCTTGTCTGCCATGGTGCAGACCTAGGGGGCGCTGTGTCCCCACTTTACAGACAAGGGACCTGGGTCCCCATTGACTAGTGTTAGGTCACGACCACAGGGTTGCAGATGGCGGAGCTGCTGTCCATCCAGAAGCTTGGGTTTGGTGGCCACATGGGTGATGCTGCCCACTGCCTCCCTCCCTCAGGAACATCCAGTTTTGCCCAAGAGAAGTTTCCGGGAGTTCATTCCCCAGGCTACCTCCTAGGAGTGACTTGGGTCTCTTCATTGTCTCAGATGACACCTAGCCAGTTTTTATAGCTTAAAAAAAAAAATCCAAATCTTGGTGTTAGTTCTTCCCAACCTCTCACCTTTGCCTTTTTTCAAAACACAGTGCGTGTTGTCCCCCCATCCACCTAAACCTGCTGAGTTAGGGGGCCCCAGAGGCCGCGGCGCAGAGCGGATGTGCCCGGGTGCCTTGTGCTGCCGCAGCCTTCTCCGGGTGTGATCAAACATCAAGCTAAGTAGCAAATAAATCTCTCCATCTCATAAGCGGCACAGCGAGATCATGTAAATGCAAATGAAGGACCTGGTTTCAAGCTGTCGAGGGGGAGGGGAGGGAACACCGGGGCCCTGTCACCACCTCCGCCTCACTCAGCTAGGGCCATACATCAGCTGTGAGAGAGCGCGGGCAGCAGAGGGAGGCTGGCCGCCCCAGGGAGCAGGGAGCAGCCGGGCGGGCGGCAGGGCACAGGCAGCCCGGGCGTGAGAGCAGACAGGGCAGGCTCCCCGGACCCTGGAGCGGCGTCCCCACGGCCCGGGGCTCCCTTGGAGCTCAGCCACAGAGTGACTCTGGGCCGCGCGGTAGTGACCGCAGCCGCTGTTTGCCCAGCAGGCCCCTAGATGCTCTGAGCGCTACAACGAACGGCCCCTGAGGTTGGCAGATGAGGGCAGGAGGCCAGGCAAGCTGAGCCGCCTGCCCAGGGCCACACGGGAGTCCCTCTCAGTCCCACAGGACGCCACTGACACGCCCGTCTTCCCGTCTCTCCCACGTGGCCACCAGCTCCCCCTCCAGGCCTCCCTGAACCCACCGCAGCCACCTTGGCCCCCTACAGACTTGCTGCAGGGACCTGGTGACTCTGAAGAGCCTTGGCACAGGACGCAGAGTCCTAAAGCCTAGCTCAGCTCTTTGGCTTTTCTAATGACAAAAGTAGAGTCTCATCCTCCCGAAGCTGGGCCCTGGCGACACACCCGCACGCAGGCCGGTTCCGCTCTGCCTCCTTCCACGTTTTCTCCAGCACAGTTTAGAAATGTCGGTCGGAACCGCGGTGTGTGTAACGTGGTGGATCCTGCTGAGACTTTTTTTCACTTGACATTATTTTATGTGCCTTTGATCACACGTAGATGTGGTCTTCTCGTGTGTGGCTTTGTAGCATCATTATGCAATGTTCAACTGCCACTCAGACTACGCACTGGGTTCAAAGAAGCCGGCTTCTCCGACGGCAACGCCTGGGTCCTTTGATGCCTAATGCGCCTACTTTACATGATTGTTTATCTGAGCCTCTCATTATGGAAATAAATAAATATCCTCTATGCTAATAATGATCACAATTTGCATTTATATTGTGGTTTTCATTCGAGGATCCTAAGTTGTTTTACAATAATGAACTACCCCTGCGTTGAGCACGGTGTTTGCGTGTGCATCTGTATGCATGGGTAGAGCTATGTACAGATATTTATTTAATAACTACCAGGCAATAACTGTGGGCTTTCACATCTCTATGCTTTAATAGGATGCAGGAAACTTGAGTGGAGGCTTTTCAACCGACGGACAGACCTTCCTTTAGTTGAGACGCGGACTAGAGGTCAATGAGTGACCCTGCGTGGGTTGCCAGCCAGCGGGGAGCGACCGTGCTTTGGCAGGGCTTGCTCTCGATGGGATGAGCGTCCTGGGCAGGGAGGACCCCGGGCCTCCAGCTCCCCTCGAGACCTGCCAGGTGGGAAACAGCCCGGTCCTTGGTCCAGGGGGTCCTCTGGGGCCATGTGAACAACACACCCGACAGACTTCATCCTTTTCAGTTGTGTACTCACTAGGGTTTGAGAAAGGGCACTGGAGGGAAAAGACTGCACTTGAGCTGCGAGGCTGGGTCGCCTGGGTTGAGGCTGTGGTAAGGCTCCTGGGCAAGGTCCCGGGGAGGGAGGACCCCAGAGCAGAACCTGCAGGAAGTACCACCTTGACCCGCTCTGGGAGGGGCCAGGGTTCTCGCACTGGCCACTGGCCCCTCTGGGGGCTGCCTGTCCGCTGGGTTCCAGTGACATTTCGGGGCCTGTCCTTCAGGCGGCGAGTGGAGGGAGCCATGGCTGGAGGAGGAGCCAGGAGAATCCCAGGACCCCTGGGACAGGGAGAGAGAAGGTTTTAATTAGAGCTGAGAGATGGGAATAAGGCAGGGAGGGATGACATCTTAATCAGGTTTAATGAAGCTGTCTGCTGCTGGGGACAGCTGTCACCCAGAGCTGTGTTCCAGCCAAGCCACTCTGTGAAGAGGAAACCCAGGAAAAGGCAGTTGAAGGCGCTGGGGAGGGCGGGGTGGCCAGAGTCGAGCTGGGATCCGCCTCGCACGTTTGCCTCTTGATTCTAACACCTGGGGACAAGGGACTCCCACCGAGGAGCCACTTTAAATGCCTCCAATATTCCACAGTTCCCCGGGTGAAAACCAAGGCACGCCTCTCCAACGATATCAAGGACGTTGCACAAAATACCACAAGGATTCAGCCATAAGAAATGGTCTGAGGGCCAGAGGGCTTCGGCAGCCCCTTCCCTGACTGAGCCTCGACTTGCCATCTGTCCAGGGGGTTGGCGCAGCCTCCCTCACAGTCACCGTGGGAGGTGTGGTCTCAAGGGTGTCCGGTTCCCCCCCGCGTGGTGTGGGCACCACCTCTCACAGAGGCTTGGCGGAGCTCTGGGAGGAACA